AGTCGCCACTCCACCACCACCATCTGTGGTTTCGGTTGACTCTGGTCCTGGGGAGGGTTTGCGTCATATCATCGCACCAAGCTGAAGATCACCTATGCTGATGATAATTGTTAGCACGCCATCTGAATCATTTAGAGATTACCATCAAAAGTGTACCATCACTAGCACTTTAATTGTTAATCCTTGGATTGTTTTTAATGCTTAATGCTGTTTAGATTTTGTACATGGTTTTTATGGAACAGGGTACCAACGCTGTAAGCCGCCCTGAGCCGCTCGCGGGGAGGGCAGGATATAAATCAAAATAATAAATAATAAAAGTCCATGTAGTCGGTGTGACTTGATAGGAGGAGTCCACATAGTCATGACGTCAGCTTCTTACACTTTGAACCTTGCTGTCTGTTGAAATTGCTGAAATCAGGTTCCACTTAACACAGGCCGGCAAACCGAAGAAGTCGAAGGAAAAGCATCTTCCAAGTATCTAGAATGGGCGTCTTTTGCAAAGGCTGTTTGGAAAACGTTATGACTATGTGGACCAATGTTCCCTCTAAGCTGTGGAGTCTTGTGAGCAAAAATTCTACATTGTGAGCCCCTGGCATTAAAGTTGTGAGCAAACAATTTGGCTGCTGCAGACATCAGTTTGCTCTGGAGCCCCATTCTTCCTGAGCTAAGACAGAAATGTGTGAGCCGGAGGCTAAAAAACTGTGAGCCGGCTCACACTAACTCAGCTTAGAGGGAACACTGATGTGGACTCCTGCTATCGAGTGACACCGACTACATGGACTTTTATGCCTTCAAAGGAGGAAATCTTGCGTCTTATGCCTTATTATAGTTACCGTATGCACTCATGTTCTTGTTGTGACACCGCCAACTTTATAATTGTTTAATATATGATTTTGGCAATCTCTGATGGTGTTTTCTACTAGTGGAATTTGTATATTTGGGACTCCCGTGACACTAGTCTTTCCCGCCTTGTTGTTTGGTGTGCACATGGCACACGGCCTCAGAGACAATGAAATGGAAATCGCCAGTTCGTACATATAGGTTGGTGCTCTACCTGTATGGACTGCTCTGCCTATATGGATGGACTGGTGATTTCCATTTCATTGTATGTCTATGTATCGGCTGGTAGGTATATGTACGAACTGGTGATTTCCATTTCACTGTATCTGAGGAAGTGTACTGCCGGCACACCGAAGCTGACACCCTAGGTAAAACTTTGTGGTTCTTAAAGGTGCCACCGGACTCAAACTTTGCTTGGCTGCTTTAGAGCAACGTGGCCGCCCTCCTGGACGTGTGCTTCTCTCTTGCCATTTCAACCTCTGCACGGCCCAGTTGGGGGCCGATGGCCAAGAGCCCCCCTTGCTCCAGGGCAGCTCGATCAGCTTCCAGGTCCTGCAGCACCACAGTGCGCTGGAGGCATTGGGCACACTCCCTGCCCACCTGTTCCTTTGGCTTTGGGGGGCCAGGCAAGGGGAGAAGGACTCTCCAACTCCCTCTGTCCTCCGCTTGCAAAGGGAGGGGTCCCCGCATCCTCGCATTCACAGCCGGCTCTTCTTTCCCCCCGCAGATGATCAAGACGCGCAGCTCTCGCATCCCGGCCCTGGCAGAGTTTGTCCGGTGAGTCCTAGTCGTGTGGGGTGAGGCAGAAGCAGAGGGGCTGCCCCCCTCTGGGGTGTGGATGGGACAGTGGGCAGGGGTGTGTGGGGTGAGGTATTTGTGAATTTCCTGCATTGTGCAGGGGCTTGGACTAGATGACCCTGGAAGTCACCAAACAGAGAATCCTTGAGCATTTAGAAAGGATGGCTGTGATTACAAAGTGCCAAGTCATGTCAGACTAACCTGATCTCTTTTTTTGAGGAAGTTACTACCTTGCTGGATCAGGGGAATGCTGTAGATATAGTTTATTTTGATTTCAGCAAGGCTTTTGATAAGGTTCCACATAACACTCTTGTTGACAAATTGGTAAAATGTGGTTTGGATCCTATGACTGTTAGGGGGATCTGTAACCGGTTGACAGATCTCACCCAAAGAGTGCTTTGCGAATGGTTCCTCATCCTCTTGGAGAGGAGTGACCAGTGGAGTGCCTCAAGGATCTGTCCTGGGAGGACCTGTTTTGTTCAACATCTTTATCAATGATTTGGATGAAGGGATAGGGGAAATGCTGATTAAATTTGCGGATGATACTAATTTGGGAGGGGTAGCAGATAGTCAGGATACAGGATGATCTTGACAGGCTGGAAAACTGGGCTAAAACCCCAAAAAATAATATGAATTTCAGTGGGGATAAATGTCAAGTTCTGCATTTAGGTAGGAAAAATCCAATGCATCATTATAGGATGGGGGAGACTTGTCTTGGCAGTAGTATGTGCGAAAAGGATCTAGGGGTCTTAGTAGTCCGTACACTGAACATGAGTCAGCAGTGTGATGCGGTAGCTAAAAGCGTAAGTGCAATTTGGGGCTGTATCAACAGAAGTAAAGCGTCCAGATCACTCTGCTCTGGTTAGACCTCACCTAGAGTATTGTGTTCAGTTTTGGGCACCACAATTTAAGAACGATATAGAAAATCCAGAATGTGTCCAGAGGAGGGCAACGAAGACGGTGAGGCGTCCGGAAAAAGGCAAATACGATTTTGGGCTATATCAGAAGAAGTAAAGCGTCCAGATCACTCTGCTCTGGTTAGACCTCACCTAGAGTATTGTGTTCAGTTTTGGGCACCACAATTTAAGAACGATATAGAAAATCCAGAATGTGTCCAGAGGAGGGCAACGAAGACGGTGAGGCGTCCGGAGACCGTCCCATGAGGAAAGGTGGAAGGAGCCAGGTATGTTTAGCCTGGAGAGGAGGCGACTGAGAGGTGATATGATCACCATCTTCAAGTACCTGAAGGGCTGTCATCTAGAGGATGGGGCGGAGTTGTTTTCTGTTGCCCCAGAAGGTCGGACCAGAACCAGTGGGTTTGAAATTAAATCAGAAGGGTGTTTGGCTAAACATAACATTAGGAAGAACGTCCTGACAGTTAGAGCAGTTCCTCAGTGGAACAGGCTTCCTCGGGAGGTGGTGGGCTCTCCTTTTCTGGAGGTTTTCAAACACAGGCTGGATGGCTTAGTGCTTAGTTCTCGTGGCCCTTTCCCACACGCCCAGGGAAACGCTGATGGCCACTTTGCGGTCAGGAAGCAATTTTTCTCCAGGCCGGTTTGGCTGGAGATCCTGGAGGGTTTTTGTCATCTTCTGGGCATGGAGCAGGGGTCACTGGGGATGTGTGTGTGTGTGGGGGGGAGGCTTCTGGGTTTGACTAGATGACCCTGGAGGGACCCTTCCCGCTCTGGGATTCTAAGGCCCCCTAACCCACGTGGCTCCATCTCTGCTTCCAGGTCGGTGCACCCCTATGAAGTGGCTGAGGTGATTGCAGTACCGATCCAGCAAGGGAACCCCCCTTACATGCAGTGGGTCAAGGACACGGTGCCGGAGTAGGACCCACCCAAAGGCCTCGGCCAAGAAGTGGGAAATCCCCCCCCCCCCCCCCCCCCGAGGGAGACGCAATAAAATCTGCCTCAGCCCCAAGGAGGAGATTGTGAATATCACCGTTTCTCTTGTGTGTGTATCCCCCCCCCTTTGGGTGAGGGGCAGTTTGGGCCTGGCCCTCTGGGGGTCTTGGAGTCTCCCTGCGGAAAACTGCCCCCACCCCTGCTCCCGTCAGCTGCTGAACGTCTTTGAGGGGCAGACACTGGCTTTGTGGACGTGGTGGTGGTGGGGCTCTGGGGGCCACATGCCCTGCAAAACTGCAGGTCGCCTTTCTCTTCCTCCCCCCCCCCCACCATGCCCCCAGCAGCAGAGGTTATTTGCATATACAGCCTCATTGGCCTTTGCCTCGGAACACAGAGGTCATTTGCATATGCAACTTGATTGGCTTTTGCCTCTAACATTCTAAACAGTTTGCCCTTCTGAGGTAAAATGTGTCCAATCTCCAGGTGAGGGCTGGAGATCACTCAGAATTACAACTACTTTCCAGATAACAGAGATCAGTTCCCCTGGAGAAAATGGTGGGCTAAGTATCCTTATATGCTGCTGAGGTGGCCCCCATGACGGCCAATGTGACGTAGCAGTCAGGGCTTCAGAGCATGGGAGAGGCTGCAGGTGTGTGGCGGGTGGAAAGCTGAAGAGTGAGGGGGAAATAAAGGTAGGTTGACGATTGGCTGGGCAGGAGATAGGGTTGCCAACTCCAGGTGGTAAATTCCTGGAGATGTGAGGGATGGAGCCTGGAGAGGGTGAGGTTTCAGGAGGCATGGGACCTCAGACAGGTACAAAGCCATAGACTCCACCCTCCAAACCAACTATTCCCTTCTGGGGAACCATAGTTGCCAATCTCCAGGTGAGGACTGGAGATCACTCAAAA